ATGAAACACACCTTAGAATTTAGGTAGCCAACCTCTAAACCCACCTGTCGATCTTGATATTTGTCAAAGATTTGTAATTATCAATGATTAAAAGAGCATTTGATTCTTTTGATATCTAATGAATTCATGTTTTATGATTGGCTTCAATTGTGAAACTTAGAAGGAGGCAATATTTTTCAAAATTTTGAAAATTTGAGAAGAAGAAAAACATTTTCAAACAAGATAATCTCTCCGGAAATATCTTGGAATTCAACAAATATATCTCCGAAGCTCAGAATCGAAGTTGGGCAAGAGAAGCTATTTTGGGGCAAAATTTGCTGGGGCAAGGAAACAAATTATCTCAGGTCAAGGTGTGCAAGAGTACACCATGGTGGAAATGAAGACAAACTAAGTCAGTGGTAGAATGAAGACTGCACAAACAACCCTTCCCCTCACAAATCAACATACATACATCAATACAAACATATATCAATACATACATACATAATACATAAAATTTGCATCAAACATTTATCATCATATATATTAAAGACATTTTTCTCCTCACTTGGGGACAAATTGAAAAAAAAAAAAAATCAAAAAAATTTCATCTTGACATCCATCATAACATCCAATATAGTCAGTCAAAAATGCATCATTTTGATCTCTCAGGAAATCAAAGCTCGGAAATGACCAGATGTCTAACTTACAGAAACAATGATTTGGGCTTCCTGAAGTCAACAATCAAGACATTTCCTCAACGTGCATGAACAAACAAACTTTTTATCGCCTTTGAGGGTGTTTTTCTGGAAACAAAATTTTTGTCTCACTTGAGATATTTTTTCCACACATTTTGAGAATTTTAAAACAAATTTTTGTCTCGCTTGAGACAATTTCTTTCGAAGCAAATTTTGTCTCGCTTGAGACAGCTTCCTAAAAACAAATTTTGTCGCGTTTGAGACAAATTCTCTTAAAACAAACTTCGTCTCGCTTGAGACATTTTTCCTTTGAGATACAAATTTTGAATTTGATTCACTTAAAACAAAATTAATCTCACCTTAGATTGTTGTTTCTTTTAAAACAAATTTCGTCTCGCTTGAGACCTTTTCCCTTTGAGATCCAAATTTCGAATTTGTTTTACATTAAACAAAGTTGATCTCACTTGAGATCGTTTCCTCAAAAACAAACTTTGTCTCATTTGAGACTATATCTTAAAGCAAATTTCGTCTCACTTGAGACATCATTTTCTCTCATAATAAAAATTTCAAGGTTGTTGTACTTAAAGCAAAATTAATATCACTTGAGATTTTCAAAGCTGATTTGTTTCGCACGAGACAGTTTCCCCTTTTAACAAATCCTGAAATTGTTTCATTTGAAACAAATAAACACTTTTGAAAACACCTTTGAGATTATTTCCATATAACAATATCGACAATCTTTGAATCTTTTCTCTTAAAACGAATTTTGTCTCTCTGGAGACAGTTTCTCTTGAGATAAATCTTTGAGTCTATTCCTTTTGAATAAAAATCTTTGAGTTGTTTCTTTTGAAAATATCTTTGAGTCTATTTCTTTTGAAAAAATTTATCTCCTAAGACAATTTCTTTTGAAAAAAATCTTTGAGTGGTTTCCTTTGAAACAAAATTTTGTCTCTCGAGACAACTTCTTTTGAAACTCCCTTGAGGCAGTTTCTCTAGAAATACAAGATCTTTGAGTTTGTTTCAACTGAAATAAAACCATTTTTGAGTCGTTTCACTTGAAACATTTTCTCTTGAAACATTTTCTCTTAAAACAAGATCATCTTTGAGTTTGTTTCTCTGGAAACAATGTTTTATCCCTTAAACAATTTCTTTTGAAAAAAAAAAAAAAAAATCATTGAATCTCTTTCTTTGGAAACAAAATTTTGTGTCTCTCGAGACGGTTTCTGTGAGAAAAATCTTCGAGTTTGTTTATTTGGAAAAAATTTTTACCATCTTTGAATTTGTTTCCCTTGAAACAAAGCAAACATCTTTGAGATCGTTTCTCTTGAAATGAATTTTGTCTCATTTGAGACAGTTTTCAATGAAACCCCGATCTTTGAGAACATTTCCCTTAAAAACAAATTTTCTTGAGACAGTTTCCTTTAAATCATCTTTGAGTCATTTCCCTTGAAAAGAATTTTGTCTATTTCGAGACAGTTGCTTTTGAAACACATCATCTTTGAGTTTGTTTTTCTTGAAACGAATCTTTGGGTTTGTTTCTTTTGAAACAAATCTTTAATTTGGTTTCTCTTGAAACCATAACTCCTAAAGATGGCAAGCCGTCCTCATCACGTAGGAATCGTGTTATCACCTTTAGATGGCCAGAACTCTTCATCACGTATGAGCTGTGTCATTCCCCAGACCAGATCTCTTCATCACGTATGAGCCGTGTCAACCATAGATAACCAGCCGTCCTCATCACGTAGGAACCGTGTTATCACCTTTAGATGGCCAGAACTCTTCATCACGTATGAGCCGTGTCATTCCCCGACCAGATCTCTTCATCACGTAGGAGCCGTGTCATCCTAGATAACCAGCCGTCCTCATCACGTAGGAATCGTGTTATCACTCCTCCTAAAGATGACCAGAACTCTTCATCATGTATGAGCAGTGTCATCCCTCGACTAGATTTCCTCATCACGTAGGAACCATGTCACCCTTAGACGACAAGAACTCTTCATCACATATGAGCAGTGGCGTCCCCAACAACCAACATTATCCAATTTATAGGAAAATGAAAGAGAACCAGACAAAAACGTGTTGTATTGTCGTCTTTGCCCTATTCTTGTTAACACAAGAATGTGCAAAGAGGGGCAGCTGTAGACACCCGTTTTTGTCCGGGTCTTTTTTGTATATTATTATTATCGTTATTATTATTATTATTTATTATTATTATTTTTATATTATATTATTATTTTTTACATATTTTTGCAGGCCAAAGCCTTAATAATTTATTATCCATACACATCTAGGGATGATTATGAGTATGATCGGATCAGATTTTTTAGCTAATTAAAAATCAATTCGAGTATTATATTTTTTTTCATCTATTATAACCTACATTTTTAGATAAAGATCTACGTCGACTCAATATAAATATATATAAATAATTATTATAAAATAAAGATTTAATTAAAATACATATATATAATTTTAACCTCAATCATTAATTATTGATTTAAAATTATTCATTAATTATTTTCTAGTAATAGCAATGAATTTTAGTTCCATCCCTAAAAAATAGCTAATAATTTAACAATTTCAAATATTAAAAAATTGCAAATTCGATCTGCTGTGATCTCTAATTGTATTACCTGGTGGAGACGGAGCAGAGGTCGGAGAAGTGGCTGTAGAAGAAAAAACAAAAAGCATGAGATGAATTAATTACTCTATTAATCGAAACAAGAGAATTTAGATTTAGCGTATATTTCAAAGAGGAACAGATTGAATCGAGACGAAAACATAGAGGATTGTTAACCAAATCTTCATCCAAAAAAAGAAATTATAAAATTGAAGGCAAACTTACAGTTGTTGCAGTTGCTTAGATCAGTACGGACGCCGCATTCACGAGAGACCCTGAGAGCATCCGAGACGTTGATGTGAAGAGAAGGGAGAAAATTAGGGTCCTTGTAGAGATTGCAGAGACAGGGAAGCTCGGTTCTAACAGCTTCTTGATAGGTTACAGCAGTCGTCTCCGGGTTTGACGGTGGCGTTGTTGATGTAAGCACAACCCACCAGCTTCTGCGCGCAAGTTGCTTGCGCGTCCGTCACGGTTGCCGTCGACACCACCGCCAGAAGAACCGCCATGATCAGGAACTTAGCCTTTGGGGAATTCAGTTCTACTTTGTTTTTCCTTTTCCCCTGGCTGTTACGTTTTAGCTTAAATAAAAGCAAAACCTTTTTCCGTCGATTTCTTTGATCAGTGGAAGTGATATCCAGGCTGGGCCGGAACTCGGTCCAAACAAGTTTAAAATACTTTTGTCCAAGTTTTACTTGACAAAAAATTGTTCGAAGGCCGGTCTGCATAGTTCGACTCGGTTCAAAAGCGTTAGTTTGTGAAACCTTTGATCACGGCTTTAATCATAATAAATCAAGGTTAAAATTTACCATTAGTCACTAAATTTCAGATTATACATCGAATATAAATTAAATTTCAAAAAATTTTAATTTTCATAATGAGTATTAGATTGTGTTATAACTAGGATAATGAGCTGTTAAATAATTAATCACTCTGATTATTTTTATCACTCAATCGTCATTTGTCACTATCATCATTCAAGACAAAATCATATCGGAACATTTATATTTCCTTTGTATCTTTTTATCATCAATTGGGTTCTTATGAAACATATTTAAACTGATAAAAATTCACTTAAATATTCTATGTTTTAATGCTTTGTTCTCATATGAAGGTTATCTGATAAGATTAGTTTTTTAAGTATTTTATTTATGTTTTCAAAAGAATACTTTTCACTATTTAAAAACCTCAACAAATGATGAATTTTTGTGTTTAATTTCATAAGTTTATAAAGAAGTTTGAAAAAACCTAGCTAATAAAATCATAGAGTGCGATAAATAAATTATTAGTGTCTAGAACAGTCGTAAAATATATTGAGAAAGACGATTTTTCAAATACGATTGAAAACAGATAAAAAAAAACACTTATTTTTAATGAAGAATATGATAAAATAAAATAAAAAATTATTTCTTTATTTCTACACGCCAACACAATCAACTTCCATGGCATATAAGTATTAATGGTTAATGATTACCTTAATTGAAATGTAGTTTAATAATCAATTTATAATAATTTAATAAATTTATCGATAAATTTAATAATAATTCAATAAATTTAATGACTAAAAGCATAGTTTAAACGCAGTTCATGACCTTGTTATACTTTCTTACCCGTTAACATATTTTAGAAAGCAATCATTCCAACGGATAAGAAGCCAACGAAAAACCAGTATCAGAGAAAAAGCTTGTATCAAACGACCGCTAACAATGGCCACTCTCTCAATCGGCATCGCCACCCCCGTTGCGACCTTCCGTTCGACAAAAGTAACACGAACCTGCTTCAATTTCGAAGTCTCCTGCGTCCAATGGGTAAATACTTACATAAGATTTTCGGGTTTTTTTTGTTACGGTTTGATAAAAAGTTGAAGCTTCGGATTGAAATCAATTCTTCTTCTTCTTCTTCTTTAATCCAAGGAAGGACCCGGAAGGTATTTTAGGAAGACCGCAGACAGGACACTTGGCTCGTCTCGAGTTCAGAAGGCGGCTTGAGAAAGACGCAGAGGCTCGAGAGGCATTTGAGCAACATTTAAGCCAAGAGAAGGAACGTCGCCGAACTCTTCGCGAAGTATAATAGTTGTGCTAAATGTTTTTTTATCACAATTTATTAAATTGGTTTTGTTTTGGGTGTTTTAATCTTCTTCTTCTTCTTCTGGTGGTGGTTTCATTATTAGTCCAGGGAAATACCCGATACTGCAGAGGAGTTGATTGAATACTTTCTTGACACTGAAGCTCAAGAGATCGAGTTTGAGATTGCAAGATTAAGGCATCGGTTAGTCCTTTAATTTTGTATGAAGAAGCTATAATAGTTGTGCTAAATTATTTGCCGTTTTGCTTCTTTGGGTATTGAAATGTGTTTCTAACACTTGAATTTCAATGAGAAGTTCAATGTATCTGATGAATTCCGGTTTCTGGACTTTAAATTTTCACTTTAACTTCATGACATTGATTTCCTTTGCAAATTTTGTAGATTGGATGAGGAATTTTTCTCCCACCTCAAATTTGAGATCGGGCAGATTAGATTTGCTGTTTCGAACACCGAGGTTTGTTAAAAAAAACAATCTTTTGCTAGTGATATTCATTTGTTTATCTAACATCAGAGAATTGGGAATTTAAAAGCTGATGAATTTCGCAGAATATGGAGGACAGATTGATTGAGCTGGAGGCATTACAGAAGGCCTTACAAGAAGGCACAGGTATATTTTTCGACCATACAATATAGAGAAAATAACTCAGTGACCGAAAATGCCTTATAATATACGATTTTGACTATTTTTTTTTTGATTTGCTAAAATGACCAACAAAATCGTAATGCGATCTCTAAATCGCAACGTGATCTCCAGTATCGCAAATCAGTTTCTAAATTCGCAACGCGATTTTCCAAATTCGCGTTGCGATTTTAGAAAATCGCAATGCGAATATGTAAATCGCAACGTCATTCTGACTATCGCAACGCGATAATACAAAATCGCAACTCGATAATACAAAATCGCAACGCGATAATCACGTGTCGAAGACCACGACCACGGGACGGCGGCGGCGGTGCGCGAGAGTCCCCCTTATTCTCTTCCACTCAACAAGGAAGTGGGAAATCCAAGCCTTAAATATCATTCCCAATAGTGTTTCCAATACTATGTGGGATTGAGCATTGCAAACACTTGGGAATCTTTTACACTATCGCAACACATTCTTTATTGTTTCAAACTAAGATCTTACAAATGGCTTGGGAATCTTTTACACTATTACAACACATTCTTTATTGTTTCAAACTCTACGTGAATTTGGAATAGTTTAAATGTAAACTTATTTTGAATTTTTCACTATCGCAATATTTTTTCACTATCGCAACAACACGTTTTTCAAACTCTCGCAACACATTTTAACTATCGCAACACATTTTTCAAAATCGCGTTGCGAATCTAGATATTCGCGTTGCGAATTTGGAAACTGAGTTGAAAAATTAGAGTTCGCGTTGCGATTTTGTTGGTCATTTTGTCAAATCCAAAAAAGTTGGTTAAAATCGTATATTATAAGACATTTTCGGTCACTGAGGTTATTTTCTCTACAATATATGGTTCAAGAGTTGTTGCTTTTTTTTTTTTTGGTTTTCACTAATGATACTCTGTCCTCTGACCACAGAAGCATATGATAAAATGCAAGCCGACCTTATAACTTCGAAGCAAAGCCTCATCAAGATTTTGACATCGAAAGATATGAACACAACTGTATGTGCCTGTCTACCATTGAGTCCCTTCTATATTTTCTAATTTTATGCAGGCCAGCTGAGTTTGAGTTTTTTGCAGTTGCTTGAGATGCTTGAACGCAATGAACTAAATAGATCCGTATTGACACTTCTTGATGAAAACATAGCAAGTGCAAGCAGGGGTAATCAGGTTAGCATTGCCCTCAACCTCAAGATTCTGTATTTACTTGCATGCATGCATAATCTGGTAAAACACACAAGGTTAGGTTGCTTGAAGAGTGCTACTTTCCAAGTCGAAATGATTCCTCTAGTTTTCGGTTCGTCTTCCAATATTTTGGCTTTCATGTGTTGCTTGTCCCATGATAATCATCCGTCTTAGCTCTCAATGATTTTGCTCAATCTCAACTGTCTATAAGACGATTTCCTTATCATTTTGGAACTTTATTGTTGTCATAATTGGCATGTTTTTACGATTATGATATTAGACATTGTGAATTAGAATAGAAAGAAGCTGATGTGGCTTTCGAATATTACTTTGATGGCTATAAAATTAATATCGGGTTCTGTTATATCGCCTCCGACAAAACCCTGTTAGGCTCTAAAGCCAGTCCAAAGGCATGCTAAGCCTGAAGTTCCAGCAAAGCATGAAGACGAACAAAGAGAACCCCTCCGCTCAGCCAAGACAGTCCGGCTCAATGCCTGACCTCCGATGAACAAATAGGACGTTTGGCCATGAGCTGATACGACAGGACGTATAATGACCCCAGCCAGCCTATATGAAGACCCTACTTAGAGCCATGTGGTACCAAGGGCACCAAATATATAAAGGTCTTCTCACCCTTATCAAGAGGACCAAGAGGGAAAAAACTTGGATCCGCTCTCTATCAATCTCCTTCTTCTCCCCGATGCTGACCATCGAACCTATATCCGGTCAAACTAAACTCCGACGTCCACCTTAATCTGCAGCTCTTCGTCTAAGTCAGAAAGGGTGAACTGCAACCAACACCAACCACCACCTTCCTCCAATGTTGTGACCTCTAGAGGTTCCATGTAGGTTAAATGTGTGCAAACACCATGCTTCCATGTCCATATTTTGAGCGATTGGCAACAAAATGATTTCATCTGGTTGTGGTAGAACCGTATTGCTTGCTATGATTGCCCATTATTTTCTCTCTCATTTTTCCCCCATTTTCATTTGTCACCCTTTAGCTTTCACAACAAAACATTCATGAAGTAACACTTTTTAAATATTTTTTTCCATTCTTATGCCATGTTAAATCCATTTGGCTCATGAATATTCAATGTGTTTCGGTCGATATCTTCTCTTAGAAACCATGAAAATTTTAACCAGGCTTCTCCTAAAACATATCTACATGATTACCATGCTAGAAAACTGCTTTGGATTCGACTGAACTCCCCATAACTTGTCATTTTTTTTCTTAATATGCAGAAAGAAGCAGTTGCTTTCATGGAAAAGGCTCGTTCGGCCATTCTCAAGTATCTGACGGTATAGTATACACTAAACATGTCTGAATGTTTGTTTTGGTCTTGGTGAGTTTGGTTTTAGCAGTTTTTGTACCAACATTTGGTTAAGGTATTTGTACTAAGATCAGGTCAGTAATTACATGTACAATTACAAAGACATGGTTCAGAGAATCAGAGTTACAATTTATACAACGATTTAGTTGTTTTCCGGACAAAAGCAAGAACAGTTAAAAGGAGATTGGAAACAACCTTTTGGATTCTGTTCTCCTCCAATGATTTCGTTATTTTCTTGATATATTATGATTAATCCTTTATAAATACATTTTTCATAATTTATAATTAAATCTTACATGAATAAATGATCAAAACTGTTATACTACCATTGACGCCCCTCCGAAAAAGTCGCCCCGGATGGATTGCTGAAGCCTGAAGGTGGAAGGACCATCGGGACACCAAAATCCGAGGGACTTTGGATTCTGACACTTTATGTGTCCAAATGATGATCTTGAGTCATCTTCTACGGTCTTTAAGTATCCTACCCCTAGTTGACATACAGTACAACATAGAGAACAATGATCTTAGAGGCCGTTTCTTGAGAGCAGGATACCGATGACGACGACAGATGACTTGAGATCATCATTTAACCTAGTGTTCTAGGTTGACTTCTTATCTATTCCTTTATCGGGTCATGTAGTAGTTGTCAATCTCATCTCATTAATTATTGACTGTTGAGGTCAGAAAGTGTCAAAACCGTAATCCGATTCCGGTATTCGAATGATCCTTACGAAACATTGTGAGACCACCTCAACGATCCATCCACGAAGCGCCTCTTCCGAAGGGACGCCATTGGTGATATAGCAAATATAAATATATTATAAATGAGTTATTATTTTAAACATTGACATTAAAAAAAATTCATAAAATATACATATTTGTATGTTATTTAAAATATTTAAATGATTTTAAATCCTATTTCATAACTCAAACACTAAATTATAAATTTAAACCCTAACATATACAGCTTTAAATTATAAATAAAACGCATTAATACTGTACATATAATCCACACATTTTAATAAAACAAAATCTAAAAGAAACTTACCTATCAATAAACATATGTGGAGGTTGTCAAAGTTTAAGCATCGACATAATTGTTTTTAGAATAATATATATATTCATGTGGTCTTTATATTATATAGTTATTAATAATTTAAAATTTAATGTTTCTATTAATTTTTAAGCATACAATCTCTGAAAGGCTGAGAGGAGTCCACTAGGGAACCCTGCTCCACCTTCCTGGTTTTTGCGGGTATATAATTTCGAGCATACGTGGCACCTTAACGGCCGTTGGTTTTCCACCTCACTATCAACTTGTTTTCGTCATGCGCAAACTACAAATTTCACTACTCAATTTTCACAATATTGATGTTTTGCTCATTAAAATTTAAAAAATATCAATTTAATTACTGAAATTTTGAATTACTCTATTTTTATTATTTGGGAGAAACAATAAGATAACTTAGTTGTTTTTATGATGACATGAAAACAACCTATTGGTCACATCAATATTTATCTTTTTCTTCTCACAAAGATTTAGTGAGAAGTATAGTGAAAAATATATAAATATACTTAAAGTTGAGTGATGAAATTTGTAATTTACCTTCAGTTATTATAGATACGGCAATCTTATCAAACACATCAGTGATAAATAGAACATCGTAAGTTATCGTTATCCCTAGCCTCACCCATAGAAGGAGAGAAACAGAGACGAACCGGGAACTCAAAATTTCATTAGACCAAGAAAATGGCGGCAGAGACAACGCTTAGAGTTTCGGGTTCGAGTTCAATAGTTTGTAATCTAAATGGGTCTCAAAGGAGGCCAATCCCTTTTTATTCTTCAACTCGTTTTCTGGGTTTTCGTCCTCGAGCGTCTTCTTCGTCTGATTCAGTCTCCTCTTCACTCTCTCAGTTCTTGGGAAGTGTGCGAATTGGCTCTAGACTTCCCATTGCACGTAACCAAAAGGGGAAGAAGATGAAATTCTCTGTCTCTGCTATGGCCGCTGATGGTAATCGTTTTCCATTTCCGCCTTTCTTGCTTTGGGTTACTTTTTAAGTTGTTTGGTTGTTTTTTTCCTGGAGTAATTCAGTGTACTGTTTATTTGGATTGTCATGCTTTGAATTTTTGAAGCTTGGGATTTTGTTCATTTCAGCTTTAATTTAGTTGTTTCATCGCTTGGCAATGGGGAATTTGGTATACTTGCTTGTGTAAGCTGAGGAAATTATTTGGGTAAACTATCTATTTAGTCATTGAACTGACCACCGAACAATTTTTTTTTACAAACTTTGGGACTAAACTAATAAAGTTTGTAAATTTAGAGGTTAATTTTGCCCAATTATGTAGAATATGACTAAATTGATTGACTGTGTAAATATGGTGTACTAAACTTTTCATTATCCCAATTAATAGTGATCGAAGTTGATTTGACGGCTGTGATCGATGTTGATTTAACGGTAAGTGACTTGATTGACAATAAAACCAAACATTATTGATGTAATTGACTAAACTTTTTGTTCGGTGGTCACAATAGGATCAGCCTTATAGTTTAGTGACTAAATAGATAGTTTACCCATCCGATGTCTGACAATTTTTCATCCGATATGCATTTTTGAATACTATTGTTTTCTATGTATTAGACTCGTGTATTGTGACGAATTTCTTGCTATTTTAGTGTTTAAGATGGATATAATTTTTATTGCTTCACAGAGTCGAAGCGTGCGGTACCGTTGAAGGATTATCGCAATATCGGAATTATGGCTCACATAGATGCGGGAAAGACGACGACAACTGAACGTGTTCTATACTACACTGGAAGGAACTATAAAATCGGTGAGGTACACGAGGGTACGGCTACAATGGACTGGATGGAACAAGAGCAGGAAAGAGGTATCACCATAACATCGGCTGCAACTACCACGTTTTGGAAAAATCACCGGATTAATATTATCGATACCCCTGGCCATGTTGACTTTACACTCGAAGTGGAGCGAGCTCTCAGGGTTTTAGATGGAGCTATATGCCTGTTTGATAGTGTTGCAGGCGTTGAACCACAATCTGAAACTGTATGGAGGCAGGCTGATAAGTACGGGGTACCCAGAATTTGCTTTGTCAATAAGATGGATCGGCTAGGAGCAAACTTTTTCCGGACACGAGACATGATAGTTACAAATTTGGGTGCTAAACCACTCGTGATTCAACTACCAGTTGGTGCAGAAGATAATTTTCAAGGTGTAATTGATCTTGTAAAGATGAAAGCTATACTTTGGTCCGGGGAAGAATTGGGTGCAAAGTTTGAGTATGCTGATATTCCGGCTGATCTTCAGGAGTTAGCTGAAGAGTACCGGGCGCAAATGATAGAAACTATTGTTGAATTAGATGATCAAGCTATGGAGAGCTATCTTGAAGGAGTTGAGCCTGATGAGGAAACCATTAAGAAATTAATTAGGAAAGGCACGATCGGAATCAGTTTTGTTCCTGTATTGTGCGGTTCAGCTTTTAAAAATAAGGGTGTTCAGCCGCTACTCGATGCTGTTATGGATTACTTGCCATCACCTGTTGAGTTGCCGCCGATGAAGGGGACTGATCCTGAGAACCCTGAAGTGACAATTGAAAGGAAAGCAAGTGATGATGAACCATTTTCTGGACTAGCTTTCAAAATCATGACCGATCCATTTGTGGGATCCCTTACATTTGTCAGGGTGTATTCGGGAAAGCTTAGCGCAGGATCTTATGCTCTGAACGCGAACAAAGGAAAGAAAGAGAGAATCGGTAGATTGTTGGAAATGCACGCGAACAGTAGGGAGGATGTTAAGGTTGCTTTGGCCGGTGATATTGTTGCTCTTGCAGGTCTAAAGGATACCATTACAGGAGAAACACTCAGCGACCCTGACCATCCCGTCGTCCTTGAGCGGATGGACTTCCCCGATCCTGTGATTAAGGTTGCTATTGAACCCAAGACTAAAGCTGATGTCGATAAAATGGCTAATGGTTTGATCAAGCTTGCTCAAGAAGACCCTTCTTTCCACTTCTCACGAGATGAAGAGATCAACCAGACTGTAATTGAAGGAATGGGAGAATTGCATCTCGAGATCATCGTTGATCGTCTGAAGAGAGAATTCAAGGTTTGTAGCAACATCTAATTCTGGTCAACTGTGTGTGTGTGTGTGCGCTTTTAATAGCTTTACTGATGCATAAACATTAAATACTTCTAATTCTCATTTTATTTTGATTGCTTGGTGCATATAGGTAGAAGCTAATGTCGGTGCACCACAAGTTAATTACCGGGAAAGCATTTCCAAAGTTTCAGAAGTTAAGTATGTGCACAAGAAACAGTCAGGTGGACAAGGGCAGTTTGCTGATATCACTGTTCGTTTTGAGCCGATGGAGGCAGGTAGCGGTTACGAGTTCAAAAGTGAAATCAAAGGTGGAGCGGTGCCAAAAGAATATATTCCCGGAGTGATGAAAGGGCTGGAGGAGTGCATGTGTAACGGTGTCCTTGCAGGCTTTCCTGTCGTCGATGTACGTGCTGTACTAGTAGATGGTTCTTACCACGATGTTGATTCAAGTGTCTTGGCATTTCAACTGGCGGCCAGGGGAGCCTTCCGAGAGGGGGTTAGAAAGGCTGGCCCTAGGATGCTCGAACCTATAATGAAAGTCGAGGTTGTTACACCCGAAGAACACTTGGGTGATGTGATCGGCGATCTCAACTCTAGGAGAGGCCAGATTAACAGCTTTGGTGATAAGCCTGGTGGACTCAAGGTAACATCAGATAACTCCACCCTTGTTTTGCTTTGAAAATTTGTTATTTTTAACAAATGCCTCGAAAAAGTCGATTGAATACTTCCACAGCACTAGTCGAAATCTCAGATATTTCATCGGATCATTCATAGAAAGCATCCATTACACTAATTTATTACTGAACCATGAGCAAAGTATGCAGTGTTGTGTTCTCTTATGTTTTTACCAAACGATATGTTTCCGCTAGCAGCGCTTTCTGATTCGAGATGGCGAAATATGTTTTTCCTTGTAATCTTATCCTGTTGATGCATTTGGCACCGGATTGATTGCAGGTGGTGGATGCCCTTGTTCCTCTAGCCGAAATGTTCCAATATGTCAGCACTCTCCGAGGAATGACAAAAGGTCGTGCATCCTACACAATGCAATTGGCCAAGTTTGATGTTGTCCCTCAACATATCCAGAACGAGCTTGCTTCAAAACAGCAAGAAGTTGCTGCTTGATGTTGTTAATTATTTTCTTGGCATCCAAACACTATTTTTTGTTCATAATATGAAGTGCAACATTACTCTTATTTTTCCCCTTTCAATTATAAATTTCATGTATTAGTTTTGGAGATAAATGTAACAAGACTCTGAAATAGAAAATGCAAGATAAATCAGAATTTGCAAAGGAAAATTCTAATTTATATCTTAATATCTTATTGGCCAAGTTTGATGTTGTCCCTCAACATATCCAGAACGAGCTTGCTTCAAAACAGCAAGAAGTTGCTGCTTGATGTTTGTTAATTATTTTCTTGGCATCCAAACACTATTTTTTTGTTCATAATATGAAGGCAACATTACTCTTATTTTTCCCCTTTCAATTATAAATGATAGTTTTGGAGATAAATGTAACAAGACTCTGAAATAGAAAATGCAAGATAAATCAGAATTTGCAAAGGAAAATTCTAATTTATATCTTAATATCTTACATGTTAAGAAAATAAATGGTATAATTCTAAATTTTATTATCTTGATGACATCTTTTTTACCCTTGAACTTTTAAAAAAAAAGCATTTTAGTTCCCTTTTTTTTCATTATCTGAACTTTCTATGTTGTTTTGATCTGACGGTTGAATTTGCTGTCAGATTGAAGGATTGATCAATATAATATTAATATTTTAAGATTCATATTTTGAAGATTCAATTAGAACATAATTTAAAACTTAAGGACCAATTTAAACATTGAATGACTGTTTAGGGACTGCTATATACAATTGACCCGTGAAATTCGTTCTTATGTTCGGTTAGATAATTCGAAAAATTATTAATCACCTAACCAAACACCCCTTAAATCCAGGTAGACTACTCGAAAAGCCGAGCTGAAGAAGCTTCGAGAACCACCAGAAGTCCCTGGTCTGCTTTGCTTCCTTTTCTATAAAAATTACATTAATTTCTAATTTTTTCCTAAATTACACTAAACCACAAAAAATAACAATCGTCTTCCCCAAAGCAAAGTTCGAAGGTAACAGGTTGCTCTGCCATGGCCGACGAAGCCGAAGCCAAAGCCAAAGGCAACGCTGCCTTCTCCTCCGGTGATTTCAACGCCGCAATCAAACACTTCACAGAAGCTATAAACCTTGCTCCGACCAACCACGTCCTGTACTCAAATCGATCCGCCGCTTACGCTTCTCTTCATCAATACGATGCCGCATTATCCGACGCCAAAAAAGACCGTCGAACTTAAACCCGAATGGTCCAAAGGTTACAGCAGGGTCGGGACGGCTCATCTCGGTTTGCACCAATATCAAGACGCGATATCGGCGTATAAAAAAGGTCTCGAGATTGATCCTAATAATGAAGCTCTGAAGTATGGATTGGCTGATGCTCAGTCGGCTTCACGATCTAGGGCGGCTCCGCCACCCAGTCCATTCGGCGATGCTTTTCAGGGGCCGGAGATGTGGGCGAAGTTGACTGCCGATCCGACGACTAGGCTTTATTTACAGCAACCGGATTTTGTTAAGGCGATGCAGGATATTCAGAAAAACCCTAGCAAATTGAATGAGTATTTGAAGGATCAGAGGGTTATGCAAGCTTTTGGAGTTTTATTGAATGTTAAGTTTAAGGCGCATGGTGCTGGCGACGAGATGGATATTCCAGAGGCGGATTCACCTCCAACTCCACAGCCTTCAAATCCGACTAAAGAGGAGGTAAAGCAGCCTGAGCCTGAGACGGTACCTGAACCGATGGAAATTTCGGAAGAGGAGAAGGAGAAAGCTTTAAAGGAGAAGGAGGCTGGGAATGCTGCATATAAGAAGAAGGATTTCGAGACGGCTATTCAGCATTACACCACAGCAATGGAGCTTGATGATGGGGATATTTCGTACATCACCAATCGGGCTGCTGTTTATTTGGAAATGGGCAAGGTATGGTCATCTATATTTGTTTGTTTAGAACTGAGGAATTGTACTTCATTAAGTGTAGGTGCTTTTATGATACTAATAAAGTTTAGAATCTGTTGGTTGATTATATACTTTTATAAAAAAAAAATCTTTCAGCTTTGAACATTGAAATTTAGGTGGCCTAAATTAGTGATCTTCATGATAATTTCATATAGAATAAAGTAATTTAATAGACGTTCATTTAGAATGATACTGTTGGGCTTGTTCTGCTCTAATATGGAGATAGATCCTTGTTTTTACAAGCATCTAAATAAGGCTGGACTTAGGAATTTACAATTTTTTTTGCCAGAATAGAAGTACATTTTGAATATAATCTTTTAGTGATCAATGATTTACATTGCAATTGAGTCGCCTATCATACATAAATAGAAGGCTGTAAGGTTTCATTGTTACTAATTGCTAGAGTATGAGTTTATGATGGAATGATTCTGAGTGCTCTGCCTTGCGTATGCTTAATTATGTATCTATTAATGATGTTATATCTGAATTTCACCCCGAACCCGATTCTGAACACAAACACTTTCTTTTATTCTTGTTGTTTCCTTAAAAAGGAAATGGAAGTCTTTAGTTGATTTTACCCTTCCTTTTCTTCTATGTTACATATATCTGAAGGTGTGATAGTTTTTAGTTTGGATAGATATGAACAACTTGTCATTATTATATTTTTGTTTCCTATTTTTATTGGCCAGGTAAGAGAAATTTCTTCACAATTTTTATGTTGGCATTGTGATGTAATTTGCTCTGTGCTAAAAAAAGATCATGCTTTTGGGTTGTAGTTCTTAATTGATTATATATACATCTAACTTCACTTCCTTTGTCTTGCTTACTATCTTTGTTGAGCACAGTATGAGGATTGCATTAAAGATTGTGACAAGGCTGTCGAAAGAGGTAGAGAGCTCAGAGCAGACTATAAAATGATAGCAAGAGCTTTGACTAGGAAGGGGAATGCTTTGGCGAAGATGGCAAAATGCTCGAAAGATTATGAACAGGTGGTAGAGACTTTCCAGAAAGCTCTTACAGAGCATCGCAATCCAGACACTTTGAAGAAACTAAATGATGCAGAAAAAGCAAAGAAGGATTTGGAACAACAAGAGTACTTTGATCCCAAGCTAGCGGACGAGGAGCGTGAGAAAGGTATTCTTCATCAGTTTCTGTTTATTTCTTGCTGGCAACTTCATGGTTCTTTAAATTTCTTTCCTTGTAAATTTCAATTCCCAGCACTATGGTAGTCCAACTCCCATATACTGTTCATTTACTGACTCCAGAAATATATTTGTAGGGAATGAATTTTTCAAGCAGCAGAAGTATCCAGAGGCTGTGAAGCATTATACAGAGTCATTGAGAAGAAACCCCAAAGATCCAAGGGTAAGAAGTCTAATTCCTTTTCTTGTGAGTTGTGGTGACTATTGGCTAAGATACACAAAAAATAGGAATATTTTTTGACAACTAAAATTCATTTTGCATGTCAGGCATACAGCAACAGAGCTGCATGCTACACAAAATTGGGAGCAATGCCTGAGGGACTGAAAGATGCTGAGAAGTGCATTGAGATCGATCCAACCTTTTCTAAGGGTTACACAAGAAAGGGAGCTATCCAGTTCTTCATGAAGGAGTATGACAAAGCTTTAGAAACATACCAGGAAGGGTTGAAACACGATCCCAATAACCAGGAACTGCTCGATGGTGTTCGAAGGTATGTAGTTCTCTCTTTTCGATCTTTTGGTTTTATGTTCCTATATCAGCATACCTTCTACAATCACTTGGTTCTCTCAATTGTTTTGCAGATGTGTGGAACAGATTAACAAAGCTAGTCGAGGTGATTTCACCCCTGAAGAGTTGAAGGAAAGACAGGTGAGGATTGTGGAAATTCCTTTGTTCCTGTTTTTCATTTGGATTCAAACGAGCAGTCTAGGATGCCAATATAAATTTAAATTAATGCGATATTTTTGCAGGCCAAGGCAATGCAAGATCCTGAAATTCAAAACATTCTATCGGATCCTGTCATGAGACAGGTAAGTACTTGTAATGTGAGCATATCTGAATATTTTGCTGGTTGGTTTACTGAGAGAAAAAATGGGGGATTTGGGCAGGTTTTGATTGATTTACAGGAGAATCCAAAGGCAGCACAAGAACACATGAAGAATCCTATGGTGATGAACAAGATCCAAAAGCTGGTGACCGCTGGAATTGTCCAAATGAGATGAAAATGTGGATGGGATTAATTAAGTGCATTTTCCCTTCACCATTGCAGTAAATTTGTGCGTGTTTTCATTTCAGTAAGCTTGTATCGGCTGCTGTGGGTTGGATTAAATTTGGATAAACTATAAATTTCATCATTTGACTGTTAACGAGGTGATGACATGGATTATTCCTTTACTGTGTCAACCTCCTGTTCTAGCTTCCACATCTGCACTCAACTCATGTCCTTCAAAACCATTCATCATTTTCTCTAAAAAAGACGGAAGAAACCAAGCCCTTGACTTCGCCTGCACAATGCAACAAAGAAACTCAGATCAAACTTTGTTTTTATGTTCGAGAGGGGAATTATGTAGATCTTAATTATGTTTTTTTTGGATAATCAAATTTTATTACCCAAGAGCAGTTAACTGCTACAAAATAATAGAGTAAGATATACAAAAAAAACCCAAAACAAAAAGGCAATCAAGCCATCAAACTATACCCCATTGGTTACAAAGAGTAATATTAACATAGTCTAATCTACTAATATTTCTTTCCCTTAGATGAAGACCAACCAATTCCTTAATAGCATTGAACATTTCTTCAACAGTAGAAGAATAACTTTGGAAAAAGCCTCTTGTTTCTTTCCTTCCATATAGTGTAAATTAAGACATTTGAAGAAACTTTCATAATGGTAGTTAGTAGGGATTTACCCTTCCAAAACGCAGCAGCCCATCCTAAGAGTGCATCCCAAGAAGGAAGTCTAAACCGTAATCCATTGAGAGAAAAAATAGCAGACCATAGAGAGGAAGCAACTGTGCACTCGAAGAATAAGTGGTCTCTAGTTTCCATTGCAGCAGCACAAAAAATACAATGGATGTCATTAACAATCCCCATTTTATGAAGCCTTTCTTTCGTAAGAAGACGGTCAAGAAATGCCATCCAGGCTATAAGGCTATGCTTAGGAATGAGAAGAGGGAACCAAAGTAAAGAGTGTCATAG